TTCAGATGTGCCGCGGAACGGACTTCAGATTCGTGATCAGCGTGTCCTGTTTGGTCTACATGCCGATTTTGAGGCGTTTTGAAAGGGTCCGGAATCTGCATGCAGATCCGTAATTTGTCAATTACGGGAAAAGTTTCATATGTGCCGCGGAACGGACTTCAGATTCGTGATCAGCGTGTCCTGTTTGGTCTACATGCCGATTTTGAGGCGATTTGAAAGGGTCCGGAATCTGCATGCAGATCCGTAATTCGTCAATTACGGGAAAAGTTTCATATATGCCGCGGAACGGACTTCGGATTCGTGATCAGCGTGTCCTGTTTGGTCTACATGCCGATTTTGAGGCGATTTGAAAGGGTCCGGCATCTGCATGCAGATCCGTAATTCGTCAATTACGGGAAAAGTTTCATATGTGCCGCGGAACGGACTTCAGATTCGTGATCAGCGTGTCCTGTTTGGTCTACATGCCAATTTTGAGGCGTTTTGAAAGGGTCCGGAATCTGCATGCAGATCCGTAATTTGTCAATTACGGGAAAATTTTCAGATGTGCCGCGGAACGGACTTCAGATTCGTGATACGCGCGTATTTACAAATTGCAACCGAGCTCCGCCGTGGGGTAAGGTGGGCAGGGGTTTTCGCACTACGGCTGCGGTTGAACTACCGTCTGTGGTAGAAACTTCAGGACGATGGCGCGTTTCATACGAAATCTGGCGCAATGTTTCTTTGCTTCTGAACTTGTACTGTTATTGCTGTGAATTCTTGAAGCGGGAGTGTTTCAATAACAATTTGTGAATTATTTGAGTTTCTTTATATAAACATAGAATAGTATTATGAAACATTGTGTGGAAACTGGAAACTGCAAATACTGATATGATCAATTACTTAGTTTGGGAATTGATACACATTTTGTAGAGATTTGTCTGGCAAATGGTGTAACAAACCTCAAGCCTATCATGATCTGAAGCTGTTGTAACAAATCAAAATTGCTTTGATGTTACATAGTACCTTGTTGGAAAGACTGGAGCATGGTTCAAGATGATGTGTAAAAATTCAAGATTTGTGCGAAAGCTTGTGACTGAAGAACGAAAGCAGTTCGATATGATGGCTCAATCAAACATGGAAACGGACGACAAAAGTAGAGTTTCAACATTCCAGCATGTGAGAATAACTTCAGAAATTCATAGTTCTTGTAGTATTGCATTCTTTTTATGTACAGTTATAGGTTTTGTTAGGGTATTTCAAATTCATTGTGTCAGTTGAGATATAGATGGATTGCGGAAAATTTTAGAATCATTGCATGGTAGCTAGGTACTTGTTCGGTAAAAAGATATGTGATGAATGCCATGAGAAGATTTTTTATGATTCAATGTATGGTCGTTGTTGACTGTTGTACCTACAAAAATGCAAGCTTACTAGCAACTAGTTTCTGAATCAAATCGAAAGTATATTTTGCCATGAATGTAAATATGTACCTGCAAAGTATGTCAATAAATTGTGTGATGTTGACCAGAGTTTTATCATCTAGGCATTTATGTCGCTTCTTACATTAGGTGTTAACCCGCGCCCCACTGGGGGGGGGGGGGGGGCTATTTATAGCCCCCCCTCCCGTTTTTCTGCAATAATTTCCAAACCGCTTGACGGATCGACGCCAAACTTACAGTGCCTTTGGCTGCATTAGTTTGACACCTTGTGTTAAAATTTGAACTTCGTAGCTACCATAGGTCGGCCGGAAATGACGTCAGAGTGACGTCATGTTCGGCCGATTTCGACGCAAAACATTGAACCACGGCAATCGCTCCCAAGAGCTCAGTTTTTAAGCTAGATCCAATTTCTTTGCATGAAAGGACTCAGAATTGACCGCGCTATCAAACTGCTATCTCGAATTTTCAAAATTTTGAAAATTTCGAGAATTTGATATAATAATATTCAAAATATGTATTTTTATATTTTTTTTCAAAAAGTTTTTGACTTTTCGAAAAAACCGGAATATATGTGACAGAACGCTTGATTATGACTAACTCTAGCAAGTTTTAGCTAAATATCTTCAAAAATGGCCAAGTTATACGCATTATTGCAAAAAATTCACAATTATTAATTTTTCAAATCAATTTTTCAGTACGTATTTGACATCGTACACCAATATAAATGGCACCATCGTGTTCCTGAGCTCAAACTGCATCCAATAGACACCTTTTTTGTTGAAAAATTTTAACTTCAAAATTTGACCTTTTTTGACCTGAAAGTGACCTGACCTAAGCTAAATTCGACTCAAAATGACCTCGAATGACACAGACGACATCAAATTCGAAATCTATGGCCTAAATGGACCATAAAACATGTGTCACGTGACCGACGCATGATAAAATATTTTCGTGACCTGTGATGACCTGACCTTGACCTGAAAATCAAAGTAAAAGCTTGGTACCCTCAGGGTATCTAGAGCATCTGTTTAAGAGTGTGTGTACCAAAAATGAGCCTGATCTGACTTGTAAGACGGCGGCAAGAGCCCAAAATGTGAACAAGCCAAAATGCTAATAATTTTTACTTTGACCTGACCTGTGACGTCATCGGTGACCTCGAGGTCAATGAAATTAGGTTTCGCTCGACAGCTTTTCCGGGGCTATCAGACGCCGTTTGAATTTTGACGATCGGCCCAGTAGTTTCGGAGTTAGGAGGGGGGGCTATGAATAGCCCCCCCCCCAGTAGGGCGTGTTATACGCAGACCCCAGTGGGGCGCGGGCTAAGCATAGTAATTACGGATGAACTTTGTGCCAATATCTTCAATGCACAATGTATGTAGCATGTCTACAACCCTCACTGATCCTGCTATAGCTATAGGCATTTGGCACCAGCTTGACCAAGTGCATGAACTTCAGTTGCACACCCTTTTGTCATGTACCACCAGTTACTTTTTTACAGGTGCACATAGCACTGCAGTGCACACAACAATGTGCAGAGGGCCTACACAAAAACAACATGATTAGTGTGCACTATGCACAGCATTGTACCCTGATTATTTGAATATTTTGATCACTCAACAGTCAGCAGTCAGGAGATAATTATTGAATATCACATTTATTATACATCACTTGTCAAACAAGAGCATGATGACACACATTTTGACAAGCAATCATGGTAGTATTCCAATAAGTTGGACAGTCACCTCCCTGGGCGTCATTTTTCCAGGAAGGTACCTACCTCTGCAGGTGTTGTGGTAGGCTAGGTTGAATTGGGTTAAGTTAGGCGAAGTAAGGTGGTTATGACCAGGTCAGACCGTAAGGCCTGGTCAGGTTGATTTTAATCTTTCATTCTAATTTGACATAGATACCTATTACCTATGTTTTTGCTGAAGCCTGAATTTCATTAGGTAATGAGTTAATTTTGCTTTGTTTTTATCTGTCTTGTTTTGTGTTTTTCTCCCTTATATTTTGCCCCATAGGCATGGGGTGGAGCTTTTCCAGGGAAGGTGGTGGAGCATGATTGGAGGCGCTCAACCAGACGGCATTGGAGGGCACGGTTTCTGAACGCGCACTGATGCCTGATTCAAGCCACGCTGTCTTCATGCGGGGCGGCGCGCTACTTAAAAGTCCCTAAAAGAACGGGAAGTGATGCCGATAGAACCTTCAACCATTCTGGGCTAACGCTTATGACTTGGAAAAAGTCGCGATCCCAATTCAATCGAAAACCTGTGGGCTCTTGTTCAGCAGGAGGTGTATGAAGAGCCACCTGCCATAAGCACTGCTCAACCGCAGGCACAGGTTTAGACGGCGTTGGTCCGCATCAAAGCCAGTGTGCTGGAGAATCCATTGGCTGAAATGCTCCAGAACATTCATCACTGTGTTTTTATGAAAGGTGGCTACAAGCTCAGTTAAAAGAAAAAGTACCAGATTGTTTTGCTTTTTAATTACAGCGGGAAGAAAGGTGTCCGGATAATTTCGTTACACCCCCTGTAATGTTCAAATGGTTGCTAAATTCGAAATCAGCTCCAAAAACTAGCCTAGAAACATGTAAAACTCGAAAAAGGAACCGAGGTCATCAAAGGTCATTGAGCTGACCTGACCTTCAGGTGACCTTGACACCCACCCTAATGCATGGGACCAGCATCATATCACATGTTTCAACGCTTGAAACCACGTGAAAACTGCAACCGCGCGGCTAATGCGAGCCGACATACGCCGAATCGCGATTCGGGCCAAACATGGTCTCGAGAAATAGGTCACAGGTCAAAGGTCATTTGGGTCAGGGTCATGAAATTTTCAGGGGGTGTAAAATTGATAAAATCGGGGGCATTGAAAGTTTCGTCGCGATCGGACGGTTTTTACGCGAGTTACTCACGAAAAACCGATAAAGCGCACCCAAAAAGGCAGAAATATGCACATGCGATATCCTATACTGCGAAAAAAGGTCCATCATTTTTTAACGTCGCCGACAAATTGTAATTACCCTAAGCTCAGGCAGATGTATGGTAGAGAATCCCCCAAGTGAAATACACTACGGCGGAAATAAAATACCCTACGGCGGAGCTCGGTTGCAATTTGTAAATACGCGTCCTGTTTGGTCTATATGCCGACTTTGAGGCGATTTGAAAGGGTCCGGAATCTGCATGCAGATCCGTAATTCGTCAATTACGGGAAAAGTTTCATATGTGCCGCGGAACGGACTTCGGATTCGTGATCATCGTGTCCTGTTTGGTCTACATGCCGATTTTGAGGCGATTTGAAAGGGTCCGGAATCTGCATGTACGAGATTGATATCAATCTGCATGCAATTATGCAAACGTTACGTTTTTGACGTCATAAGTTTGATCGGCTGACTATCTCCAAATAGTACACTTACATTACTAAACCTTGATTAAGCGGCAAAAGCGACGCTGTCTGTTTGTGAGGTCAGAATCAGAATGTTAGTCATACTTTTTATTTATTTTATGTGTTTTTGGAAATATTGGTAAGATATTTGACTGCATAATTTTGTGTTATTATTTATTAGCTTATTTTCAGAGTTAGCGTAGTGTAACAGAAGATTAAGCATGTTCAGAAACTTTCCCACGAATATGAAATATCCCAATCGGTTTATCAAATTTCCCGTTTTTCGTTTAGATAAAAAAGCAAGTGTAATGAGTGAAAGTTTGTCTATATTGTGCTTTTTTGATACATGAATAAGTAGGCACACAGCCTGCAAAGTATGCCAGGAAAGTGGACAACCTGCATCAGAAATCACAAATGAAATGAGTTGAAAGTTTCCTGTTTCACCGGTCAACACTTCCGATTCTGCACTCATTTTGCAATGTATGCAATGTGCTCATGGACAGTGCCACAGAATAATAAATTCACAGTGCCACAAAATATTGGCTCACATTGATGATGAAGCTTGAGCTCTCATAGATATAGATGAGATTGAGGCACCATATTCCATCTATTCTCAGATCAAAATGGGTGTCAGTGATGAAAAGGTTGGGAGCTTGGAAGATGAGGCTAGGAAAAGAAGGGAACGACTTGCTTCGCTGAAGAGACGTCGTGAAGAGCGTGAAAAGGGAGGAGGAGACAAAGCTGATGGCAGGAAAGAGGCACTGCCAAAGTAAGTAGCATATGCTGTAGTTGGTTTAGTACTCCTGGTGCACACAGGTGTATTAATAATTTGAAGTAATTTTATTGCTAATTTGTCACGTATTTAATTTTATTAGTTATCAACAACTTATATCAATATAGTGTTTGTTTGGTCTGAATTCTGACGTAATGCTGCTCCAATTTCTTACATTTTCCTGGACAATTTGTTGGTTCGGCAAAGTCATGAAGTATATGTTTCTTCACATTATTTAAAAAAATGCCTGGTACTTTCAGGCTCCAGCAGCCTTGCAGTCTCAAAAAGCACTCAAAATCAGCTTTAAGATACACTGCTGTCAAACTTGTGTGTGGTGTGCAGTGCATGCTCATGCTGACCGTTATCCTCAGCTGACCTTTGACCCTGCTGGCCCTCAGGCCAGTGTTCCGCAGCTACCGACCGGCTGACGAGAAGCTGAAGGAAGCTGTTCTGCCGGACGCCGAGCCGAGCAGCGTGGAGGCGCTGCTCGGGGACACCGCCGCCGCCGCCGACTCGGCCTCCTCCAAACCGGATGAAGTCGTACGTACCGCGGCAGTGGTGGGATGGAGTTCCCTCACCCACATTCTACTAAGATCATCTTTCCACCTTTCATTTGCTGGCATCCCTCGCTCCCAAGGCCTCTCGCTGACACTGCTCCACCCCGCCCTTTCTCGCTGACAGGACATCGCGCAGCTGGCGCCGCGGAAGCCCGACTGGGACCTGAAGCGTGACCTGGCGCCGCGGCTGGAGCGGCTCGAGAGGCGCACGCAGCGCGCCATCGCCGAGCTGATCCGCCAGCGGCTGCGGCGCGACCAGCGGCCCGACGATCTGGTGGACGCCGTGCACGCGGCAGCTGCCGACGGCGACGACGATGACGAGTAGAGGGGCGGGGAGTAGCGGGAACGATCAGGAGGTCGGCGTGCCGCTAGCATGTGCGCTGTAGTGGTGGGAAGCGAAGGTTGCCACTTCACAGCGCGGTCAGCGGTGGTTGGGGAGAGGCGCGCCGTGTGAATATTCATCGGCTCCAGACGGAGCACAAAGTGGCGCTGACTGCTGAGCCACGATACTGTTCGGAATATGCATCTCACCGTTACATGTGTTGCGCGTTTGTGGCTCTCCCCTGTGCAAGTTGTTCGGGCACGACGATCTTGGGAGGGTTTTGTACTGTGAAGTAGTCGCTCACTCCAATGGGTCATATACATCGGCTCCCGGATTCCAAGATACCGATCGATTTGTGTGCATTGTCATCATCATGGTTCGTGAAAATAATAATATGCATCCGACACTGTAGTGGATGGTGTTTATTGATATTGACGAGCCTCACTGCGTGGATGGCCGAACCAACGAAGCCTTGCGACTATCGTCCTGTCCAGTGCCATCGTTCCTTACATATTTCGATTCAGGTGCTTGGATTTCAGCCACGCGCAGACCTGACACTGCCCTTCTGAAGGAAAAAATATTAAATAACACGACATCCTGTATTTATCGAGCATGTGAATATGCATGCGATTCGGCCGTCAGATACATATTTGAATATAGACGGTCATTTCATCCGCAGCCACTTTTAAAACAGTCATCAGACACCACAGGACAAACAGCACATATTTTCTGTGGGCAGTCGCGATAATATCGTCCACTGAATGTGCCGCATCCGTCAGCCAATAGCCGTATTACACTGGGAGGAAGTCGATACGAACAGCTGCTTTTGGTCGAGTTCATGGAGTACTAGCGCTACCGATGATGAAATACATTTGAACATGTAGGAGAGAGGCGGTCCCGGGCACCGGTTACCTCGCATAACGGCAGACGGATGGCTACCTCAGAGCATGGCAGACGCACCGGCTTCCTCCAAACATGGCAGATGCACTGGCTAAATCCGGTAATGGCAGACGCAGCGGTTAAGTTCCATGGCAGAAGTTATACCTGAAAACTCGAGGGGAGTATGGCAGGTGCACAGACATACAATAGCAGACACGGTTAGTTGCTTCTTTAGACAATGACAGACTCCCGGCTATCTCTCTCACGGAGACAAACGTATTCATACTGGCTATCTCATACAATGTGCTCCTACCGCCTACATGTGATGAACCACCTGGCTCCGACAAGTGATACTGTGCAGAGATTGAAAACTGAGATGGACATACTAAAAATCGACACCCATACGGTGACCAATTGAGGGCAGTACGGCAATAAAACAAAATATCAACGCTAACCCTCCGAGCAATGGCGAGTTGACGACAATAATATCTAAACTAGCATAGCTCGAGACAAATGCAAGTAAGTTCGTAAATCAAATCACGGAAATATCACCAGTACGCTCTAATATGCTCCGTAAACAACCCTTCGAGTTTCTGATCTCCCACAAAATAATACTACAAAAGAATAGTCTAGGTATCGCCTAAGAGTTGTAAGACAATAATGCAAGGGACGTGAAACGAACCAAGACCATCACAAGCTCTGAAGTCCCATGGGCGGGTATACGATCACAGAGCGGCTTCCATCTCCGTCAAGCTGACACATATCGAGTAAGGTCGACAACACAGGGTGCACATTTGCAGCCACCAATCAGTTGGGTAGGCGGTGACCACGCCGAGCCCGACGTCCGCCATCGGTGTGGTGCTCAGATCCGGCTAGCGAGGCCAATGACGCCTCTAAGTGAAGGATCCACCGTCCCTCGGACTCTCCTCGGTTTACAGTATCATTCCAGATCATATATCACTTCCCACGGCCGCGGGAGCTCCCGCCAGCCGGGGACACATCATTCTTCCTCAGACCCCTCGCCGCTACTGCCGCCGGCCGGCCTTCAGCGCTCCTCCGGCTCCTCCTGCGAGTCGTCCGTCAGCACGGGAATGACGCCCACCCCGACACCGCCCTCGTGCGCGCGCATCGACGAGACGAGCTCCCAGCAGTCGCGCTGCGGGTCGTATACCTCGACCGTGTTGAGGTTGGCGAAGCCGTCGTAGCCGCCGATGCCGTACAGGCGGCCCATGACGGCCACCAGACTGACGCGGGACCGGGTGACGTTCATCGGCGCCACGTAACTCCAGCTGCGGAGGCGGGGAGGGGGGGGGGAGGGGGAGACGTCAGGTGCGTCACAAACGGTGGCAGAACGGCCGTATGCTTAGTATTATTGAGAAGAGCATCATAGGCCTTAGCTTTGGTTGGCTAGATTTACTGAAAATGGTGTCGATAAATTTGAAAGAACTTGACGGATCTACCCATTTGGTTGCAAGAGTCAAAGACAAAAAAAAACTTGTTCTGCGCTAATCAACCGCAATTCCGAAGTCGGCTACACATGAGCCTTCTTAGCTTATATGCCTACCAAAACATTTCATAACGCACCACATCGCTAAATGACTACAGTGAAAAGGACAAGAGCCGCTGGTCTCCACTCACCTGTTAGTGACCGGGTCATACGCCTCGACCGTTTTCAGGAACACCGAGCCATCGTAGCCGCCGCAGACGTACAGCTTGCCGTTGAGCGCGGCGGCGCCGAGCCGGCAGCGTTTGGTCAGCATCGAGGGCCCGCTGCTCCACAGGCCCTTCTGCGGGTCGTAGCACTCCACCTGTGGATGTGGAGGAGAGGGCTATCGGAGGAAAGGCGCCACCACTCTGCGCCGAGCAACCATAGCGGCTAGTGGTTGAATACGTACCGGGCTTGCAGTCGCCGGTGATTGTGCCTGTCGGGGATGAATATGTGGGCTTCACTATTGATTTCGGTTCATAACCTGCTGACTGTAGAGAAATGTAATGTGATTCAGGACTTTGAATTGTGAGTAACCATCAGAATGCTTCACGTAAGCCGGTGAGTTTGACCGTAGCGTATCTGTCAGTCCGACTGTAGCATCTGGACACGTACCGTCTCGAAGATGGACAGGCCGTCGTGGCCGCCCAGTACGAAGATCTTTCCCTCGAAGGCGACCACGCCGGCGGCCGAGCGCTGCCGGATCATGGACGCCACGGGCGTCCAGCGGTTGAGCTGCACGTCGTAGCGCTCCACGGAGCTGAGCGACGTGCTGCCGTCGTAGCCGCCGCACACGTAGATGTCCTTGTTGAGCGCCACGGCGCCCAGCGCGCTGCGCCGGTAGTTCATGGGCGTGGCCTGCTCCCAGGTGCCGGCGCGCGGGTCGAATACCTCTACGGTGGCCAGCCGGTCGCGGCCGTTGAAGCCGCCGATGGCGTACAGCCGGCCGTCCAGGGTGGCCACACCCACCCGGGACCGGGTGCCCGACATCCTCTCGGCCATGGTCCACAGGCCGGTCACTGGGTGGAACACCTCCACGGTGCTCAGCGAGCCGCCTGCCGGGCACACAGGGTGTTACAGGAAGAAATAGCTCACCTATCCGGTGTCACAGGAAGCACTGACTGGGGATGAGCTGGGGCTGCAAGAAGAGAAGAAATGTCCATAACCGGGCTCGCAAGGGGCAGACTGCCTGTTTGTACAATAGGCCTCCCACGGGGGGTTAGGAAAAGGAACGTGGCTTAGGAAAACAATACAAAATTCACTTATGCTCCTGGAAGAAACAATACCACAATTAAGCTCCGTTAGCCGTGGCGTTATGGCAACACCACTGCGGAACCCATTAACGATATATCCACACCAGCAATATTCAGAGAGGAGCGATGACACGCCTGGTGCACCGCGCATGGCGTTAATTCATCCAAACGCACAGCCCGTGTGACCAGCGACCGCTCACCGCATTTGGCCAGTCCGCCGACGGCGTAGATGAGACCGACAATATCGCTGCAGCAGCGCGGCCGGGCGACGAAACTGCGCATGGCCGGCCGGCGCTCGGGCATCAGCATGTAGTCGCGCGCCTCGTCTAGCAGGTCCCTGTCGGTGGTGGGAGGGGGAGGGGAGGGAGTCAGCGAGCGCTCTGAGACAGGGGGGGGGGGCAGTCACCGAGCGAAGATACTCGCCGACGGGGAGGACGGACAGCCCATGAGCCTACAGCCCATAGGGAGGCGTGTCAGCACACTGTCACCGGGCGTGGACAGAAGTAACGGCCGCTGCGTAAAGAATGATAATAATTTGGTGTTACATGGCGCACCAGCAGCCACTGCGTAAAGCACCTACTGTCCCTTGCGGCAATTATCTAACAAGAAATGGAAACATGCCGTTCTAAACGTCTAAGAATACGTCATTTACACAAGGGTACACGTAAATAGCAAGTAGGGGAGACCCGGAAGGTATGGGCCGCCTGGAGGTATGGGCCATCGCAGTTTTGAAGAAGTGTTGCGTATTTTTACACATTTGACCGCGTAAACTGGTAGCAGGCAGCAGCCATTCCGTTATACAACCCATGTGATTTTCAAAATTTTCCTCAGTCTTCTTTGGCAATGAGCGGTAATAAAGCGTTTTTGCCCTCTCCGAGTAAAATACGGTACATAAAGAAAATTCGTGATAAATTTGAACAGGCTCGTTTTATGATGTCACACCATCGGTAATATAAAGTTTAAAGCATGCAAATTAAGACTGGATAGACAATTTGAAGCTTTCTTGCAACTTTATGAGCTGAGATGCTACGCACATTCTGGCGTCCTAACCGGGAGGTTCGGGCCACCCACCCTCATTGATCCTAAATCAATAAAATGATGCTTTCATTGAGTGTCCTCTTCAATAACTTTTATTTTTGTCGCGCAAGGTCGAAAATTTAACTACAAATTTCATTCCAACAGAAGAAATATTATCTATCTTATTTCATGGAGCATGATTGAGTTTACCAAAAGACATATGTGCTCACGTGACCCCCATGAAGTAAGCTGTTGGCCGCTTATGCGGTTCCTGGGCTCTAAGAGAGATCATAGGTGGCGGAACGGGGAGGGCACCGGGGCACCGTGCCCCCCTTTGATTTTGGCATTTTAACATTAGCCCTATGGGCGTTGCACGGAAAGAATGGGACCAAAAGTCGGCAGTGCCCCCCCCCCCCCCTTAATTGAAGGTGCTCGGCCGCTACTGAGAGAGATAAAGGTAGATACCAGCTACGAGTATTGTCCTCATTATCGAGAAAAGAATATGAAACATGGCACCGGCCCATACCTCTCGGGCCATGGCCCATACCTCCCGGTGTATTTTGATGGATCGAAAAAGCGCATGATTTATTGAAAGTTATCTGGAGACTAAATAGTTGATCGCAGATGCCTAATATCAGGCACACTTTGCAGGCGAGAGGCACTTTCACGTATACAGAGTGAAAACCGGGTCTAGCCACATCCCACTGGAAGAAAATTGCCTTTCCACAAAACCGGCCCATACCTCCCGGGTCTCCCCTACTCTGACTCAAGTCCGTTATCATTTCTGACTACGACAAGTGATGTGTAGGTGGCACCAGAGACCTGTAAAACACTATGTAATGCTCACCTGCAGAGGTGAGAGCTGCGGATGAGGGGCTCCGTGGCCACGTGGTCGGTGAGATACTGCGGTGTCAGAAGCGGCATCCTAACCAGACTCAGAAGACCCGGCAGACACTCAGTCCGCAGCTCAGTGTCGTGCTTCACCCAGCGCAGTGCTGCCTCAAACACCTGAGAACACAGTCAGTGCTGCCTCAAACACCTGAGAACACAGTCAGTGCGGCCTCAAACACCTGGAAACACAGTCAGTGCTGCCTCAAACACCTGAGAACACAGTCAGTGCTGCCTCAAACACCTGAGAACACAGTCAGTGCGGCCTCAAACACCTGGAAACACAGTCAGGTGCGGCCTCAAACACCTGGGAACACAGTCAGTGCGGCCTCAAACACCTGGGAACACAGTCAGTGCTGCCTCAAACACCTGAGAACACAGTCAGTGCTGCCTCAAACACCTGAGAACACAGTCAGTGCGGCCTCAAACACCTGGAAACACAGTCAGGTGCGGCCTCAAACACCTGGGAACACAGTCAGTGCAGTCTAAAACACCTCGGAACACAGTCAGTGCAGCCTCAAACACCTGGGAACACAGTCAGTGCGGCTTCAAACACCTGGGAACACAGTCAGTGCAGTCTAAAACACCTGAGAACACAGTCAGTGCGGCCTCAAACACCTGGAAACACAGTCAGTGCGGCTTCAAACACCTGGGAACACAGTCAGTGCAGTCTAAAACACCTGAGAACACAGTCAGTGCGGCCTCAAACACCTGGAAACACAGTCAGTGCGGCCTCAACACCTGGGAACACAGTCAGTGCAGTCTAAAACACCTGGGAACACAGTCAGTGCGGCCTCAAACACCTGGAAACACAGTCAGTGCGGCCTCAGACACCTGGGAACACAGTCAGTGCAGTCTAAAACATCTGGGAACACAGTCAGTGCTGCCTCAAACACCTGGGAACACAGTCAGTACAGTCTAAACACCTGGGAACACAGTCAGTGCGGCCTCAAACACCTGGGAACACAGTCAGTGCAGTCTAAAACACTTGGGTACATAGTCAGTGCGGCCTCAAACACCTGGAAACACAGTCAGTGCGGCCACAAACACCTGGGAACACAGTCAGTGCAGTCTAAAACACCTGGGAACACAGTCAGTGCGGCCTCAAACACCTGGAAACACAGTCAGTGCAGCCTCAAACACCAGGGAACACAGTCAGTGCGGCCTCAAACACCTGGGAACACAGTCAGTGAAGTCTACTCGTAAAACACTTGAGAACACAGTCAGTGCGGCCTCAAACACCTGGAAACACAGTCAGCGCAGCATCAAATACCTAGGCACACAGTCAGTGCGGCTTTGACAACCTACAGACATACATGTCACAGTCTGAAGTATCTGGAGACCCAAAAGCTTGTCTCAAAGGCCCATGATACCGCCTCAGACTACCAAACATAGCAACTATGATAACCACTGCAGATCTACATAGAAATTCTTGCCGCATCGGACGTTCATAAATAAATAGCACTGAGTTTAACACGTTTTGGGTACTCTATCTACAAATTGATACAGTGTCCCAAAATTGCATTTTGGCTTGGGTGTCAGAGGGGAAATTGCTTTCCAAAAATGGGGATAAGAGTGGAAAATTGCTGGCCAAGGTGAGGCCCAGAAAGATGGGAAAAGATCGATAGCATTAATTTTTATCCATGCGTGATAAAATATGAGATGTACAACGATTATCCACGCTAATGCTTTTTCTTCGTGATATTGGGAGTGGAAAATTGCTCTTCAAAATTGGAGGTGAGAGTGTGAAATGATATTCATTTGGATGTCGTTTCCCACCCAAAACAACAAATTTTGGAACATTGAATTGATATTGCTTCTTGCCAGAGCACCCATGTGTAGTATCATTTGTGATGACCATAAGCATTGGACGTGAACAAGACACGTCAACCACAGGGCGTTTCGTCAACCAGCAGCAGCAGCAGCGGCGGCGGCGGCGGCGGCGGCGGCGGCGGCGGTACCCACCAGCTCCTCCGTGTCCACGTGCAGCTCGTCCCTGGCCAGGATGTCACGCAGCTCGCGCTCGCCCAGCTGCAGGAACTCCTCGCTCTCTGTGACGGACGCGAACCACTTCTGGATGTAGGTGTCGGCGGCGCCTGCCAGCGCCGTGCAGTGCAACTCCGAGCCGAACTTGCGGATGCCGAGCGCGTTCGACGGCGTCAGCCTGTCAGCGAGGTGCGCCGAATTACAGAGTCAGAGCGACGTTAGTAACACAGTCACAAAGCGCGTCCTCAATGATTTCGTTATTCATTGATATGCTTTACGGTATTGCTGCTGAACTTCAGATATTATTGCGATCATCACATTTTTCAATGTCTCAAATCTTCTTCTATCATTTGATATCCCAAAATGTTCTGATGGGACACTGGGTGTCACCATGCACAAAAAGCCCTTCTGATGGTGCTCTTACCTCTACGTCCTCCACTTCTAATCTGACCAGGCCATTTTCATTATTATACTTCACCAGCTTTTTAAAGTAAAACTGATCATTTAGTTTAAAGTAAAACTGATCATTTAGTGAAATGTGGACATTGGACAAACATGTAATGGCTGCCCCACACTGGACCTCGCATGCGGGTTGCGAGTTTGCGGGTTTTTAGTTTGCGGGCATAATACTAATTCATAGAGTGATTAGACCGTTCCCTTATGGTAGCTTCATGAATGCAGTGAAGCCGGTACACCTTCAGAAAATTACATATAGTGGCAATAACAGAGCAACGAACCAAAATTCGACTCCAACGAAAAACCCGCAAACCTGGCAGAACTCGCGCACCTGGCAACGGCGAGGCAATCGAGAGTTGACTAAACAAAACTTTTGGAATGCGATGCAAGGTGGCTCGCAAGCTAAAAACATGCAGGCTCGCTTGTTAGATGGTAATGTGGGTCACTCAGCTCAGATTGTATTATTTGATTTTGAAGAAGCCCGAAACCCCAAAAACTCGCAACCCGCATGCGAGGCCAGTGTGGGGCAGCCTTAACAAAATCAGATCATTATCTGGCTTTAGTAAAATATCTAACGATTGGACTTTATGCAGGGCATAAATTTTTAGAGAATAAAATGTTGCAGTAAGACTATGCATATATTCCCAACTCTGGCTTTCATGCAATAACATCGATCGGTATGAACAGCTAAGACATAGCTGGCATGACCAAATCTGACAATTGTATGGCCATAGTCATGGATATAATAAGAATGCACTCTCAAGTCTTACTAGTTACTACTTACTTAAAATCATCAATCATATTAGCTGACAGTCACCAGACAAAGCACCTACTCTTTGATTAGATGTTTAGCACAGGCCTCCCGTACAGTAGTCAGCTGAAGGAATGCAGCACCCAGCATCAGATTCTGCACATTGCTGTTGTTGATCAGGATACGACCGCTGTATGCGAAGTTGATGAGAGCCTCCAAAGCACTGCAAATGATAGAAAAGTTGCATCAGCATTTTGCATCAACTATCATTTTTATCAACTAACTTAAAATAAATTATCTCAGACTTGTGCCGGGACCAAAAATCAAGATCCAGGATCCTCAAGGTCCCACGGCAAATTCAATTTTTAGAATCCAAGGTTTCCAAGGTCCAACGGCAAATTAAATTTCTAGAATCCAAGGTTTCCAAGGTCCCACGGCAAATTCAATTTCTAGAATCAAGGTTTCTAAGGTCCCACAGCAAATTCAATTTCTAGAATCCAAGGTTTCCAAGGTCCCACGGCAAATTCAATTTCTAGAATCCAAGGTTTCCAAGGTCCCATAGCAAGTATACTTTGCAGGGTCCACAGTCCCCAAGGTCCCACGACAAGAATGCATTGCAGGATCCACAGTCCCCAAGGTCCCACGACAAGAATGCATTGCAGGATCCACAGTCCCTAGGGTCCCACGACAAGTGTGAATTTCAGGATCCACAGTCCCCAAGGTCCCATGACAAGTACACACTTCAGAGTTCAGGGTACACAGTCCTCAAGGTCCCACGGCAAGAATACATCTCAGGATCCAAAGTGTTCAGGGTCCCACAACAAGAACTTAAACAAACTAACATTCTGATGAGCAGACTTACTTCTAAATATTCTGCCAACGGATGCCCAGCAACATTGAAAGGGGCAGAACCTATGCAAACCTGTGGACTGTGGTGGTTTTATCGTTAACCAACATAGGTAGGGGGTGGGGGGGTGCTTCAACACAAGTTAAAAATGAATCATAATATCAATCTCTCCTTCTTTAACCTGACAAATTCATAAAAAATATAGGTAGGTTATAGGTACCTTGCAATTTGTATTGTCATATCCCTTTCAATTCAATCTTACCTTATCAGTAGGAATGTAGGATAGCACCTTACAGTTATTGAAGACAAACATTCAAGTATTCTTTCAGGCAATATAAAAAACCAAAAATAAAACCTACAGGCTTCATAGAAATGGAAAAGTTGAATTAGATAGGTATATGCTCTCGATTTTCTGCACATTCAGTTACATAATACCAACATAATACCTAGGATAAAAAGTAAAATATGTTCTAAGTCTTGTTTGCGCGAGCGCTCACAGAAAAACTGATCGACTAAGCCAATAGAATTAGAGTATCAGCGAGCGCAAACCTTACTTACTGTTCATTCACATTAGATTGAAGGCTCTGAACAAAATTCCATCTGACAATTTTTTCGTCAGCCGGTTATTCGTCGGCAGATTTTCGTCCGACTTTTTCGTCTTGCATTTTTTCGTCTGTTCGAATTAATTTGGTGCATTTTTCGTCTGAGTATTTTTCTGTCCGGCATTTTTTCGTCTGGACGAGGCGGAAAATGTCCTAAGGAAAATAATGCGCGGACTTAAAAATGCACAGACGAACAAATGCATAGACGAAAGTCTGCGGACGAAAATCTACAGACGAAAAATTGTCCGACGAAAACCTGCTAAACGAAAAGGTTGAACTGTCATGGAATCATTGCTTATATTGCTCATTGCTCAATCAATGGTGATTTGATGAATTGCAAAACAAATTAGTTTGACACTTACTTGGTCAGTGGGTAGCTTCCAAGTAGCTTCAAGCCCGGCATATCACAACCCAGAAAATATGTGAGGTGAGATTAGAAAAGAACTTTCCAAACCACCACTGTCCACTGTTTGACAGTTTCATAATCCATAACATTGATAATGTAAAAAGCTACCAGGTCTCTTGTTCCAGTTCTGCCTCACAGCCATGGCAACGATTTTGCTCTATATATGTCTACACAGTCTGGTTCGTTTTCTCTTCGTGTAGCTATCTAGCCCCTTGCAGCTGGTCGCTCAACCATAGATATTTATTGAAGTGCTTACAGACAAAACCTAGTGCAGGGTCCTTAGTGGCCCATGTGCAACATAAACCTCATGGTCCAGCTTCCAGGATTCTTGAGGTCCCTCAACAAAATGATGGTGTAGGTCCAGACCGTTCTCCTAAGATCCCATGACAAATAATAAAACTGGTACTGAAGGTCTGCATTCTGCAGGGTCTTGCAGCATACCAAAATTTTGAGGTCCTAACCCCTGGGTTTCCATGGTTTTATGGCATATGAAATGTTGAGGTCCTGGGTTTCTAAGGTCTCATGTCACATGAAATGTTGATGTCCTGGGATTCCAAGGTCTCACGGCATATGCAAATGTTGAGGTCCTGGGATTCCAAGGTCTCGCGACATATGCAAATGTTGAGGTCCTGGGATTCCAAGGTCTCGCGGCATATGGATGTTTTAAGGTCCTGGGATTCCAAGGTCTCGCGGCATATGGATGTTTTAAGGTCCTGGGTTTCCAAGGTCTCGCGACAAAAATGACAATGCAAGGTCCAGGATCCATCAAGGTCCCAGACCTTGGACTCTGCGAACCCTGGATCTCAGATCTTTTTGGGACCTTGGCACAAGTCTGATTATCATTTTGTGTAAACAGCGACAACAAATATGTTGCCATTCTTTAGTTATCACTGGTAAGTTAGGATTTCTAACATGAAGACATAAATGACAAAATGATGAAGCATTTATGTAACATAAAACTGCACCACATTCTAAGCAAACAAAATTATTCTGCGAAGACAAAAATACTGGATAATTTGTCTATTGCCCCTCTCATGAATCACAGAATAAACACGACAGCTGATTCTGAAAACACTGCAATATTGTAAGTTTTATTAACCCGTGCCGGGCCGGGGGTGTTTGAACACCCCCCCCCCCCGCCCCCTGCAGTTTTTCGCAATATCTAAAAAACGGCGGCGCCTGTTCGTGCATCTTTTCCGCACATGTAATGAAAATTTCAGACCCAGGTCGCCTAAGGTCAGGTCACCAGGTCACGCCAAGTAACCTCACCTCAGAAAAAAAAAGAATGCTCGTCATAGTTACACCGACTGAACGATTGCCTTGAAACTTTCAGCGATTGATGAGTGTAACAGTATCTATAACACGTATGTCTCGGAATTTTGATATCGGTGACCTAAGGTCAGGTCAATTTTACGGCTTCTCCATTATAAGCACCTGTGACCCTTCGTTATGTCCCCGAGGTCATCTCAGGTCACGAATAGTATCTAACAGTGTTTCGCTAAAACTTTTGATAGAGGCATGCTAGAGCGATGAAAACGCCTTAAATGTGTTCGGCTCGACGATGTGGATCGACTGATATGCAACATGACCTTTTTCGGTCAGGTCATAGCCTTGACCTGAGGTCAAATTTTCAAGCTTACCTTTCAAGGTCAAATTATAGTTTGTTCGAAGCGAAGCGTTTCGACGAGAGGAACACGATGCTGGCAAAAGAAATGTCGTGGCTCTTTTGAGTCAAAAGTTATCGCTGAATAAACACTTTTCGTAAAAACGGCTATTTTTGGAGTTTTTGCCCTCTGGAGGCTAAACCGTTAACTTGAGATCAAATCTGAGGATATGTGGGCGAAAGAGCGTCAAAAGAGCTATCGAATGCGCTTTTCCGCGGCGCTGTAGCTCTATCGGTTCCCGAATTAGGTAGCTGTTGGCAGTTTCCAAAATGTTGAAATAGCCAACATTTTACCTTTGGTTATGCCTTTGGTGACCTCTGGTGACCTGACCTTTGACTTGACCCAAAAATAAACAAAGTATTTTCGTCCTTATTTTGGACGTTCTTTCGACTGCCGCTTATCGCGTGTCACTGCGTGGCCCAGGAGCCGAGTTAGAAGGGGGGGGGGGGGTTCAGACACCCCCCTCCCGACCGCGTATATTCGGATGCAGTATGAGCAGAGCATGGGTCCCGAAAAATTCCTCAGAAACTAGAGAAATTCTCGGACACACACGACGGGTACCATATGAATGCGGGTGAGACTAAAATGCTTACTTCGAAATTTAAGCTGCGTTGCGGCATTGGCGGTTATGTGCGGCGTGTATGCCGCATGATTAGTAAGCGGCGACCACTAAATTAAAAACTCAATAGCTTTGACCTGTTTTCAATGGATAACACTGCATACCAAAAATGTCCATCGCTCTCGTCATAGGATATTTAGATTTAAATAACTAACTTATCTACATCATCGTTTTGAACCAAATTAATACTTTCAACTTGACCCTCGCCCGTATAGGTGTTTTTTTCCAGCCACGAACGTATAAGGTATAACCCCTTGCCGTTTCGCTCCTGATCAAGCTAGAGCTTCGCGGAAAAGACCAGCGTGTTGCCCGTGACGAGAGGAAGCCGATGATACCCAATTTTATGGTCCTAGGTCATCGGTTGACCTTCCAGGTCAGGTCAATGACCCCAAAAGGCAGGAAAATTGGGACCTGTTAGAACGTTGGACGTGGTGAACGTGGGACCTGAAAAAGTTGCACCTCTATGTAATATGTGGGTTCGATATACTGTGTGACGTTCCAAGAACTATTTGGGAAAAGTTGCACCTCCGGAGAGACGGACGGACGGACGGAGAGACGGATGGACGGACGAAGAGACGGATGGACGGACGAAGAGACTGATGACGGACGGACGGAGAGAGTGACTGATCGGACGGATGGAGAAACGGACGGACGGATGGACGGACTGAGAGACGGAAGGGCCGGGACGGACGGACGGACGGACTGAGAGACGGAAGGGCGGGCGAACGGACGGAGAGACGGACAAAGAGATGGACAGACGGACGAGAGAGAGAGAGAGAGAGAGAGAGAGAGAGAGAGAGAGAGAGAGAGAGAGAGAGAGAGAGAGAGAGAGAGAGAGAGAGAGAGAGAGAGAGAGAGAGAGAGAGAGAGAGAGAGAGAGAGAGAGAGAGAGAGAGAGAGAGAGAGAGAGAGAGAGAGAGAGAGAGAGAGAGAGAGAGAGAGAGAGAGAGAGAGAGAGAATATTACTTGTCAGAGACTCGGGGAGGACGGGAAGGAGACTGATACCTAAAGAGAGGAAAGATGATCGTGAGCAAGGGGTTTGGGAGATAGGTAAGGAGACAGGGGAAAATGAGATTTTATTGCTC